TCCTCCGGATCATTGACCATCCATGTTAAATGATGGAATCAACCCTCATTGCAAAACATTCAAATAACAACTTAGTGATTTTATTTCATCATCTAATCAAATGTCGCCCTGTTAGCATGTTAGCATGTTAGCGTGACGCCGTTCGCCTGAAACGAACCGTCCAACCATGGAGCTCCAGTTTATTCAGGTTCCTTAATTAAAGCTCTGCAGGAAGATTTTCTATAATGAATGTTTATTTCTGGCAGAGAGGAGGACACTGCTGGACATTACAATCTTCACTCATGTTCAATATTTATTAGTTTTTACTTCTTTCTAAGGTCAGACCCTCTCTACAATCCAAGAGCTATAATCCCAGTCAGCTCCTGTTTAGTCTCAGCTCCTGTTTAGTCTCAGCTCTACGCTGCAGATAGTTTTATATCTAAAGGAAACATATTTCAGGACATTACAACTTATGCTATTTTGTACTATATAAACTCTGTTTCTATTGTCTAATGTACGTATTTCTATCTTTAATGGCGCCTTGCTTTAGCTCTCTGTTCTCTATAGAAGCTCCCTGAAGGAGTAAACCCAGGGATTAATAAAGCTGAGTCTAAATTTACTCAATTTCTAATATAGAAGAATCTGCACAACAAGTAAAATCTATCTATCATCTATCTATCTATCTATCTATAATCTATCTATCATGACTTTAGATTTAATTGTTTGAAGTTAGATGTTCAGAGAAAATTTCATTTTTAGGTTTTTAAAGCTTCAATTAGACGATAAGTTTATAATAAACATTGGGAACCTAATGGATCACCGACACATTAAGGCTGGAACTAACGCCAGCTTAGGGTAGATCTAGGATAGTAGATCTAAGATAGTGAATCTAGAACAGTACATCTACGATTGTAAATCTAGGATTGTAAATCTAGGATAGTAAATCTAGGATTGTAAATCTAGGATAGTAAATCTAGGATAGTAAATCTAGGATAGTAAATCTTGGACAGTAGATCTAGGATTGTAAATCTAGGATAGTAAATCTAAGATTGTAAATCTAGGATAGTAAATCTAGGATAGTAAATCTTGGACAGTAGATCTAGGATTGTAAATCTAGGATAGTAAATCTAAGATAGTAAATCTAGGATAGTAAATCACAGACTTATATATTTTCCTTTGTTTGTTTAACTGTAGTTTAAATGAATCTGTGAGGATTTCTGTGATTTTAATGTCTGATTTCAATCATGTTGAAGAAGCTTCATGTGGTGACGTCATGACCTTTAATGTTTTTCATTTATTTATTTGTTTTTTAGTTTATTATAAACCATCACATACAGTAGACCAGGTGTCGGCATCAGATGAATACAAACCTGAAAAGCTTTAATGAGGCGACCCAAATTGCTTCCATATTTACAGAACAAATAAAACAAAACCAAACAACAACAAAAAAATCAAAGATAAAAATAAATAAGCAAAAAAAGAGAAAAGCACACACACATCAGGGGTTTCTCATCAGCTCCATCTAATGTCAATCAGAGCGTCCTGAGGTAAATGCTGACTAGCCCGCCCCCTGCTGGTTAATGTTTAACATCACACTGGGTGAAAGGTAAGCCCCTCCCCTAGGAGAAGCTGATTGGACCAATTTTCTCTGTCCGGTTCCAGTCTATCCAATGGGAGCATCCGCTGAGCACACGTGACATGAGACACCCGGAAACCTTCTGCGGATTAATAAATACTTGATTCTTAAATGACAGCAAGTTTAGATTATTGGTATTAAAGTAAATTGTTCCTTCTGGGATTAACGGAGATGATTCAGGCGTTAAAAGGTGTGAGACACGTCACGTCCGGTGCGGCGAAGCAAGCAGGTAAAAATGAAAGTTTATTAATTTATAGCTTTGATCGCTGAAAAATATCCTAAAATATTCTATGAAACCAGCATCTAATGGAGCCACAGTTACTGGAAACCAGTTAAATTCAGGAATATATGAGATTGGAGCGGAAATAAAATTCTACTTTCTTTTCTGTTTTTGAAAAGTTTTCATTGCAGAAATAAAACATCAACCTAAAATTTATTTCTTATTAAAACTTCAGGTTTTTTTTTCTCAGACTTGTTGGTTTTTATGGAAGCGACCTGACCTTTATTTTCTGCTCTGGTTTAGCAGATTTTAATCGGATTATTTGCCTTCAGTGATCAGAAATTATTCCAACATTTCATTTAATCTTTGCTGAAGGTCAAACCAGCAGATTAAATGTATTAATCAGAAGGAATTATGGTAATAATCCTTAAAAAGGCGTTTGAATAAGATAGTTTGGCACCTCTATTAATCTTAATTATTTTATTACTAAATATTTGGGTGTTTTTAGCAGCTATTTCAGGTTGATAATCTAATGACTGATGGACACGATAATATTTCAGTATTGAATTGATGTTTTTTGGACTAACAGAAAATGTGCAGGACGCATTAAAACAATAAAATTTGACAGATGCAAAAATCTGGGCACCTAAGCAAAAAATAGACATTAATATTTAGCAGATCCTCCTTTTGCAGAAGTAACAGCCTCTAGTGCTTCCTGTAGCTTTGAATGAGTTCCTGGATCCTGGATGAAGGGATTTCTGATCGTTCTTCTTTGCAAAACACCGTTAAGTTTGATGGTGTCCGAGCGCGGACATCCTGCTACACATCATCCCACGCGTTCAATGATCTTCAGGTCTGAGGATTAGGACGGCCGTTCCAGAACACTCTGCAGGAATGCCTGAGTAGATGTGGATCATTGTTTTGCTGACATATCCGTCCCGGCATAACTTCAACTTCCTAACTGATATTTGAACATTATTCTCAAGAATCTCCAGATGTTGATTGGAATTCAATCCGACCCTCAAGTTTTACTGTGCTGATATGCAGAATGTATTCAATGGTAGTTCCAGATATGCCCACTAGGTGGTTCTATTGAGTTATTAATAAAAGGTCAACTACTAGAGTAAGGCAGTGGAAGAAGAGATGTAAACAAAGCAAGACGGTTGTTAATGCTGGTTAAGAAGTTAATAAAAGTTGAGCACATGCTCACTGTGGATCATACTTTGTTTAATGACTGAGTTCTTAAGCAACACTTTATTAAGATTCCCAG